TCAGGGCGACTAAGCGTTTATTAAATAATTATACCGACAGTTTCGAAAATTATTTATATTAAAAATGTAGGAAAATTTTTATTCGCTCATTTATTGTTGTGAGTACTTTCATTTTGTATTAAAGTGCATTCTGAAGAGATTCCTAGGTCGATTTCAGCAGAAGACGATAGCTGATTCCCGTTGTTCTGCAACTGTTTGATTTTAACATTGCCTTCAGGTTGACACAGTTCACGTTACATCCTCCCTCATTTCGGGAGGACTGCGTCAATCTGAACTTCGTATTATATCCAAACGGTTGCAGAACGACGGTGAGATCGAATTACAAATCTCTTCACTATGCACTTTCTTATGAAATGTGAGTCTTCATAGCATTATTACCTCAAGGGATTTATTTAGGCACAGCTACTCCTCGTATCTACATTAACCTATTATTTGTTATATTTTTGACTATTCTCCAGCTCACCTTGGGATGAGGAGTACTGACGATGAGTTCTCTCCTTGATGCATTTGATTCTTTGCTATCCTCACTTTTTTAGGCTACCGCTCCAGCTCGTGTGTACTTGGCTTGACACCGACCTCTGCTGGCGACCTTGATTCCTCTTCGCTCTTCCATTCAGCCGGCACTTCGGGCTCCGCTTCTTTGGTCATCGGATCGTCGATTCAGGCTAAATCTAAAGAGGCCCTGTCCAGCCTATCAGATCTGTATCAGCCCGCCCTTTCTTCAGTATAGCAGACGTTGGTGTCATTTTGTCATTCTAAAATGTCAGCGACCTTTTCTAGAAACGGTTTACAAACGGCAGACTAACTTGTTCAGAGCGAGTGATGAAAACAGTCTGTACGTCTTCTGACCTATTTTGAGTGATCCGACCTTGAGGCCAAACCAACATTAAAGACAATCTAAGCTTTAGGTACCAGAATTATAATATAAAATATGCATTTGATGCTTTCATCAGTAATGGTAATGGTGGCGATACTGGTCATACTTCCGTCCGAGCCTGGCATGGGGGCAGTCGAGTCTAACAGCACCAAGAGCATCTCCTTTATTGTCAATTTTGTCTGCAACGGAACAGAAAATGCCTCCAAACCTTGCATGTCGGAGCCAAAAGCCCGAGGCCCTCTTGAGGAATATCTTTGAACAGTTCTTATTTACTTTGTTTTTTTTGCATTACCCTCACCTTTGTCTTCAATCCCTTTTTTGCCTCGTCCTATTCATTGTCATAACTGGCGTTACCATTTAGCCATACGACGCAGGTATATGTGTGCTTATGCTTCTCTGTGTATTTAGCACTTGTATAGAGCCGACTTAACTGTATTCTAACTATATATATATTTATATAGCTCTTACAGTATTTTTGTGACTTTGAAATATTCTTTATTTATAACTTTGTCTTTATCTTCACCTTTTGCACTTTTTATCTCATATCTGTTCATCGTATCCTGTTGGAGCCTATTCCTTGCTCAGGGAACTGACATTCCTTGTAATTGTATGAAGAAAATGAGAGATTCTAAGATTTCCTTAGTGATATAGTGTGATTCAACTAGATATTTTGAGGAAAGAGTTGGTTGGAAAGAATGAGTGAATTGCTCTCTCTAAAAACCGAAGCATAATCGTCTTGGTTTGCTTCTTCCAAGTCCTCGGTGTGATGCAGGCTTGGGATTTAACTATAGACTAACGTTAAGTAAAAAGTTAGACAAAGATTAAGTTATTATATTGGGAATTTTTTTCATGGACTCTACATATTTTGCCTTCAATGGTGAGTTGTATGGGCAATTACAAATTTAAGCTATAGGATATCGTTTAGTCTATATTTTAGCCTCTGATATCTACTTTGTCGATTGGTAGTTCGCTGGCTTCAAGAGGCACTCTCAGATCCATAGTTGTTGGTTA